ACCAGGTGCGTGATTAATTTAAAATTGGCGTATTCTTTAGAAGACTATTTAGTCATACATATCAACGCCACATCGCCCGCCAGGCAAGTGAGGCAAATTAACGTGGTCGACGATTTAATTTGGTGCGCACTCAATTAAACTGTTAGTAGCCTAGCGATCTTATTTGCCGCCATCGTGCATACTTGCTTTGCGTCAAACGCTACAGTTTGATGTGAAGAAGAAAGAGAAATTTGTTCGTCCAATAAAAACAGCGCAGCGATGGTAGCAGTGGCGAACGGCAGCCAGCGCCTTGGCATCAGAAAAGAACATTACGGTGATTTGCAACTGCGGGCTATCAGCGCGACGTTACGCCATCGGAAGGAATACGTCGGAGGCATCCCCGCATTCCAGGAGCCACTCTCTTGCGTCTAGCTCGCGCAGTGTGCAGTAAATACTTCACCGATCAAGCCATTGTGAACTCTCGGGACACAAATCTCGCGAGGAGGACGAACGCTGCCTCCCGACCCGCAGAAGCTGCAGGCCGAACGGGGTATCGTTGTCGTTTAGAGCGGACAATGCGCGCACTGCTGCGAGAACATCTTACTATCAGCGTTCGTAGCGTTGCCATCGCTGCGCTGGTATATGGCACTTCTAGCGTGGCGACCGTTACTTTGGCGTTGCGTACGTTAGCTTAGCATTGGCACTATCTCCAACCAAATGCCCCATTTCGCCTCCTTACCCCGTCCGAAAAACCGCCCAGTCACCGCATCAACCTTGCACCAACGTCGACGGGGGCTGCCCGCCCGCCAGCCCGGCAATAGTAATCTATTTTGAATGGTTACGAGTGCTGACTTCCCTTGTTCCTCTGCCGTCCATCTTTGGGCTGTCGCAGGATTCCCCGTCGAGTGTGCCACGCACAAATTTATATCCGTACGAGCGCAGCGAGATGATAAGACGACGACGCGTCTTGTGCCACGGTCCCTCGGTTTTCGGCTTTCTCATCTTCGCTCCTTTGCCCGCATCTTCTATGTATCCACAAACGCCATTGACGACAACCAAGAAATTAAATTTATTTGCAAGCGAACGAATTAAGCGACTTTCAGAGGGTAAATATTTATTTCTCTACGATGCTAATGTCGGTAATTTACTTCCGCCCAATCCAATGCCACCGCATCCCAAACGGGAGTGCGGCATGCCCCCGCAAGGAAACGCTGAATGGGTGATGGTGAGTTACGGACTGAGATTTGGCGGCAACGACGGCAAACGGCGCACATAAAATTCGGATTAAAAAGTGCACATCAACGCAAAGTTCGGATTGTCTCAGCGCTGGATTCAATCTGCGTAGGTTTGAGCTGAGCGATGAAAATGGGTGGATTGGTAGATTGGTGGCCATGGACTTCATGGATAATGCGTTTTACTGCTGCGGATTGTTTTCGCTCGTGGGAGTGTTTTTGCATTTTTGTTTTGTTTTGCTGTTTGTGTTGTTTCGGCGACAAGGCGAATGTTAATGGACGTACAACGAGAAGTCGCCGACGTCTATAAGTCAAGTTGGGCGAAAACGAAATAAAGCAACATGGCAATGTTTTGCCAGGCTCGGGAAAAACGCGGATAAACGAGGAAAATTTCATGCACAATCGTATGGTTACACGCTCGAGCAAAAGGGAAAGGAGCGATAGCTATGCTCCGTTCTCTCAGTCTGAATGTATCTCGCCCAGTTATAATATTGACTTTCTGTCTTAAACTTATAATTTACACCCCTTAACATTCGGGGTGTAAAAACGAGTCCCAGTCTCAAACGCATATGAATCATTATGATGAATTAACGACAAACATTTAGAAAACACCCCTCGCCTCCATCCGCAGCGTGGCACACCAGCATACACACAGTCACTCTCTTCATGCTTGCGTTCTCGCTTCACGTTTGCGCCCGTCGTGCCCGTTTCTCGTTCTCGTTTTCCCAATGTGTGCGAGCCATACATGTGTTAGAGGCATTTTCGCCGGCTCTACTAACGACGGGCACCACTATGTGACTTATTCCTCCAATCCGCATTCGTCACGAAAAAATACGCACAGTCGCAAAGTTACGAGCGCGGTCGTGGGCACCAAGCGCATAAATTTTCAATTTTTTTCATTATTATTTTTTTCGGCCCCGCGAAACAGCATCAACCTACTTCAGAATTTAGATGCGAATATCAATTCGCTGGGCCGGCGATAAATCAATGCAAATTATGAACACGCAGGAAAAAATAAAACGATAATTGAAACTTGAACAATATCGATTTGACATTCTAGCTTTCCGTCTCATAAACTTTCAAAACAATTACAACCCCCCAATTCCCGGTGTCTACTTCTTCACCGGCCGACTGACCATGAACGCCGGGTTTTTCGGAGAAAATTGCGAATTTGAAGCGCACAGCCTTGAAAAATTTGCGGTGGGTGACACATTGCCGGACATAAAAATGATTTCTGTCCGTGACTGAAGCGAAAAAAGTTGGCTAATGCCAAAAGCACATTGACGATACTTGCTCGGACTCGTAGATGTATGTCATGTTTATGTGCCTCTCGTTGTTCATACTTCGTCCTTTGTTTCACTGTTGGTGAGTACGTGGTCGACGACGAGTGCAACCCGGAGGCAAGGGCGGCCTGGCAATAACTACGTCGCAGTACGATCCCCGACGTCATTTCGGGAGCCGAATGACAGCTTGCTACAAAGATCGGGGACGATTTATGCGATTGGGAACCTTTTGTGTTTCACCTAAACGCACTGTGCATTAACAGCAATAAATCAATTTTATGGTTTTGTAAATCAAAAAGTTGCTTTAATGGTCTCGCGCCACGTCGATGTATTATGCATGAAACGTGATGGTGGCATCAGCGAGCGAGATCCCGAGATCGGAAAGCTTGGAGCCCCGCATTTTTACAGTGCCACATCGCTCATTTCGCTCGTCCAGCCCGTGTGCCCATAAGTCAACCCTCAAAATTTCGACCCGCAGGGAACTTTGGGAAAATTAACAAACAAACTTTATTGTTTCATAAATTCAGAAGATTAACAGATTGAAATGGTTTCGTAGTAATCTAGATCCAGTTGTTTTTTTTTCATCAAATTTTTGATTTTTGGTTATTTGACATTTGTTTTGAACTCTTTTGTTTTGTTAGGGGTACAGTATGCAATCTTCGAATGCATCTGGCAACGATCGAACACGGTGTCCACATAATAAACGTTTTCTTAATATTGTGTACGACATAACTGCTGACATGTATTGTATTCAAATTATCGGGGCATACAAAACGCCGATCGTGACCATTGCATCCATTCTTGCGCTGAGCCGCAAACCACAACGTCCACCAAACTTTTTCTCCATGTCTGCCTTCATTCCTTGCGTTTGTCGCGCGATGGCGAGTGCGCACAATATGCATTTGTGTGTTGAACGGCGCGCGTTCCTCATAAAATGACCATTAGTTGACAGATCTATGGGTGCGACCATAAAGGATTCTGCGGCTATCTACTCCAGCGATCGATATTTATTTTATATATTTATGCAATACTTTCCGCGCTTTCTGAGCCCAAGTAGCTGGATTCATTATCAAACAGTCATAAATACGCAACATTGGTGTAACGTTGGTGGCATTTGTTTGCATACTCAAACATTATAGAAAATAACGCATACTTGTATACGAAGATAGAAGAAATCATCAAATATGTATACGTTAAAAGCTGCGCCTCACGCATCATCAAAAATGATGATAAGAAGCGGTGAATCACTACTTCAACACGCTCGTAGGCGATGAATTTGAGCGGAACGTGTTTAATGCAGCTAATAACGTTTTGCTTTTACCGGTACGAAAACTTGACTGTCGTAAAGCACGCTCGCAAAAATTACCGAAAAAGGCACGCACCCTCATAATTTCCAAAGCCATGTTTCTTTCCTGTTTGTTTCACTTGTAGTGATACACATCCTCCACCATCAACGTATGTCATTGTGTTAATTTTCATGCGGTAAGTGAAAAGTGCACTTATCACAAGTCCACAGGTTTAATATTTAAAGAAGCAAAACCATAAAATGTAAAGTTGATTATACTTGATTCTAATGATGACAGATACCTACTCCAATGTCTAAAAAACTTTGGGGAACGAGTCTTATCAACTTTTCGAGGCGTACGCCACTGTTTAATTGCGACATAAAATGCAACAAATCAAATTTTAAGAGAAAATCTAATTCCACCCCGCCTTGACTTCGACGTCGCCCTACGCAGCAACGGTATATAATATAATATTATGACTGTATGATGATGGTGCGGTTGATACGCCGCTTCTGCCGCCGCCAGTTCAACTTAATGGCTGTGACGCTCGACGTGATGAAAGAAGCCAAGAAAGTGGATCCGACCGAATCGGGGTGGCGGTTGGCTGGTTAACTTTCGCTGGGTTTTTGCATCTATACGTCGTCATGTATTTACGCAGCAAATGGCAACGTCAAAAGGATCCAACATCCAAGTGCGGAAAAATGAATGGATCCACAGCATAGGAACACGTGGATCACTCCGTCCTTGTTGCGCATTTCGAGCCTTGTTCAGACGTCGCAGCTTGCAAGAGTTCCGAACCCATATCCATAAATTAGCAACAGTAGCGAAAATTTGGTGCGAAAGCGCGAGGGGCGCGAGACGACGAGATATCCGCGCAAAGTGTGGAGATGTGTAGTCGGTGGAACGGCTACGATCGCGGAAAGCAGCCGGCCGAACGGTACCGCCATGTGATGTAAACCGAAAAGGCACTAAATCTGCTCTTATTATCTAAATGGCCGATGGAGTATTTGCAGACGCCGCTCGCTCAAACGGCCTGGTGCCGGCGGTTTCTCACTTCTACAGATTACCATCACTCATTACATAACTCTACAGATTAACTCGCCCAAGTTAATTGTATTAATGTTTTTCGCTCTGCCACTGTACTGGTTTCTCATTTAAATGTAACCAATACAACCTGAAATTGTTAAATGGGAAAAGCAGTAAATGAGTAAGTATAAATATAATTTTTATAACATATATTTTATTTGAGCTTTTTCATTGCAATCAAATACAACAAAATATTTTTAAATAAAAGTTCGATCTCTCAACACAAAAAAGAGCTTTGCCTTGATTATTCAGCTATGCGTATACATTCTTGTATTATTCAGTTTATAATATTTGTTTAATAATTAATTAATTACTGATAAATAGTTTTGTTTTTGTTTAATTTTTAGTTCTCCATTTTGCATCATTATTTTCGTGTTTTGTTTAAAAGTATTTTTTATTTAAAAATTCTTTCTTGGAAGAATGAGATATTACGAGATAATACGTATACGAATGTTTTGTATTTCCTTATCAACCAATCAACCAATACTAGGTATAAGAATCAATCAATCATTCACAATGGTTGCTTATTCTCTCTCACATGTTGTAGTTTCACTGCGTGTTTCATCGATGTGATTAAAAAGCGTTATCCAATTATGAAACCTGAACAATTTCACGATTTCAAGAGGCATTGAATAACTTGCTCCTCTCAAATGAGTTTTTTTTGTTTAATTTTTATTTAAGTTTGCTTTATTGTAAGATGGCTTACCTTAATATTTAAATATTACAAATACGGAACCATTGAAACTACAGATTTTTCGTTCAGTTTTATTATAACTAGTATTTTTACAAGTATAATTACAAGAATCATCATTTTGAAATACTCACTTTTTGTGTTTCACTAATTTATGCAAACAACCTTTCTCTTTGTCTTTATAATTCACATATCGAAATATTCTATCTTTACAGTTACGATTTATTTGTAAATAATTTAATTAAATCTCGTTCGTCTTGAGTACGATTTCGACTTTGTGATTCTTAGAATGGTTGGAATACGAGACAATTACTCAATTGAACCTCTGTTTGCAGACTTGCAGACTCAAACTGGAAATGCGCTTACTTTGAGTAATCGCTGTGATTGAGAAGCATCACTTCGTACGGTTTCGTCTCATTGTTGTATGCAGATTTTTTGCGTGAAAGTAGAACCACATCATTCAACCATCGCGAGTTATTAATGTCTACATACGTTTATGTTTTAATTTTCTTCTTGTATGTACATGCCCTATAATTTAGTAGTATACATCTTAAATACTGACTTAAGTTTATTTCTGCATCGTAATCATCAACGCGCATTTGCACTCTGGTTTGCCCTCCCTTGGCTACCTGCGCGTCACAATTTTATCCATTCTGGTTTATGCGCAACATCCCACTGTAAGTACAAACTATATATACACGCATGGATGCTGTAAGATTTGTTCACCTAGTAATCTACATATTATATGACTTCCAACAATTTGTGTCTGTTTCGTAATTTTCCGCTTAGGAATGCTTTAAATAGCTAAATTAGTTTACATATTTAAAGTTCGTATAACAAGTAAATCACTTTGTTTTGTTTGTTTGTATTTCACATTCAGTTGGCTTTCGCTTGCGATTCGTTCGTAACGTAAAAAATCATCAGGATAGTTTTCGTTTTGTATGCTTGCAATGAGAGGAGAAAGAGTAATTTACATTCAATATATTCATCAGTGTATGCCATTATTCATGTTAGATCTATGCTATTTAAATAATTAGAAATTATCATTTTTATTACTAAATTGGTTTTGCTGTAGCAAGATATGATAACATCACAAAATACAAGAACACCGCTTAGCGGCACTCTTCAATAATTTTACATATATTTATTATTATACATATTATGATTTCACTGTTTGCAAATTAGTCGCGTTTGAAATCGCGCGTCGCATCTTGATTTGAAAACCCAATTAGCTGATTAAATCTATCCCATTCTTGCAATAAGAATAAGTCTGTACACGTACAAGTATTTGTAGGAATGCTACCGAGAAAATAAAATGAATAATTACACAATGCGTCCCTTCGATTGATCTGTTGATCAATTTATCACTTCGCCCGTTACACGTATTTGCTAGACAGTTGCTTAGCGAGTTCGGTATACTTGAGGAATTTTGAATGTGGACTTTCTTCAAAGCCGCCGCTGGATGGTGGACTCTTACTGCCGGTGGAACCTGGCCCACTGGTGCCTGTCACAGGAGCAGATGACTTACCTCCTGGTGTAGAGGCACCAGAACCGGATGGTTGTTGTGACGATGCTGCTTTCAGTGCAACCGGATCGGGAATAACACCATCTTTAACGAAATGCATTTTGGATAAGTGGTGTCGGTACGCGCCCTTTGAGATAAATGGCGTGTCACAGAAAGCGCACTTCATAATTGAATCTGATGTCATCACAGCATCATTGCAGGCCCAGCTGAAAGCCAATATGGCGCCCGGTGTGGTACTGCTGGAGGTGGATGCAGCGGTTGTGGTGGTGTTTGACGATGAAGATGTTGAAGCAGCCGCACCGCCTCCACCGCTGCGATTGTTTGTGTGATGTGTTTCAGTCTTATCACATAGTTTCTGCAATGCTGCCAGAGGATGACTGCTGCCACGTTTGCTGCCCCCAGCATTTTCGGCTGGCGCGGCGTTTCCTGACAAACTGTCAAACATTGAGCTCAGTGCACCCAAACTACCACCACCTGCCGATTTACGATCACCGTTAGTACTGCGCGGGGTACCGGATCGGTCACTAGACGCCGGACTGCTGGTACTGTTCCGGCATGGACTTTCTTCAGGCGTGCGACGATGCGGACTACTCGTAGGTGTTCGCATTGAGTGGTGTTTCTTCTCTTCCTCTTTGATTGTAGGGCCGTTGCTAGCAAAACTGCTCTTATCATCTTCTTCTTCCTCGATTTCTTTTTTGATTTTCAAATCTTCGACTTCATCGTCATCGATTTCCTTCTTGATGTTATTGCAGACATCCGCGTCCGGCATGTGTTTTTCGACGCTCGGCGATTTGTCGCGTTTGTCGGGCGTCGATCGCGGTGTCGAAGATATCGGCACTCCTGGCGGTTCCATTTTCCGCTCCGGCGTGAGCGCGTCCACTCTGCTGCTACCCCGCTCCGATATCGAACTCGATTCACTGCCGCTGCGCTCTCGACGGCCGTAATGCTGACTTTGCTGTTGATGATAGTTGCGCAATAAATTCATCGTCTGGGCATCGACTAACGGCTTGGTATAATCGACGCTCTCGTCGATTCCCAGTCGCTTGAGTATACTGGAGCCCATTGGGGCGGCTGTTGGTCCCTGACCTGGAAAGGAGGCGTTCTGCCTACCGCGTGAATCGAAACTCTTTTCGATCAGTTTCTCGATGGCATTTAGTACGGAGGGCGATGAACCATTGTTGTTGTCACCCACCGTTGGCTCCTTGTTGGAGCCTGCGGTAGGCGAGCGTAATTGCGGAGAGGGTGACTTTTTAGTTTTGCTGCTTTCGCGAGGTTCAGGTGGCAGAATATTGCTCGACATCAGTGCGTTTTTGAGGAAATTTCTTTGGTTGCTTGTCATGCCGACACATTGCCGTATATGATCAACGAACATGGACGTTTCAATCTTGTTGCCGCATTTTTCACAAGTTATACGTCCGGCGCCCCCACCACTTGAATCCCGCTTATCCATAGCAGGGCTGTCACCATTTTTGAATTCATGCTGGGCGCGCTCCAACTCAAGCAATTTGCGAACTGGTAGAGATTTCTTTCGTTTTTCGCGTGTCTGTCGCCGACGACCACCGCTTTCTGTAATTGAGCGCATGATGTGCTCCTTGTAGTGCGAGTTCTTCACCATGTGATTACTCAATTCCTTGAGGGAGCTGAATGCCTGGTCGCACACCTTGCATGTCAGCACGGCGCTGACATGACTGCTTGTGCTTCCGGGTGGTCCGCCACTGCCCGGTCCACCACTACCGCCGCCCCCTCCGCTGTTGCCGTTTTTTGGATCGTCACTGGAACGCCACGAGATGATCTGCTCCTGCGAGATGATGTTCGTGTAATGCTGCGTCTGTTGCATGTGACTAGTCATTTCAGCTAATGAACGGAAACTTTGCCCGCACCACATGCACTTGAGTATTTGGCGCGTTTGCTCGGCGCCTTTGCCCAACCACACGTCCTGGCCGCGCACTAATTTTCGCGGCAGAGGCATCGTCTCCTTGATGAGTAAATTCAAGTCCGACTGATTTGGCTTGCTAGAGTTTGACGAGGAGGAACTTGTATTGGTGTTCGACGGCGACGAGGTTTGAAGCTGATGTTGTGGAGGAGCAATGGGCGTTGATTGCGGCATCGGTGGGACGGGAACGTTTACGCCACAATGCTTGGCTTCCTTCATGTGCGTAGTCATCGCGGCCAAACTGGGGAAGCTTTGTTTGCACCACACGCACTTTAACACATCTTTTGCTTGCTCAGCACCTTTGTTAAGCCAATGTGATTGCCATGCACTGTGACGACTACTGGCGGAGTTCGCTGAAGCACCACCACTGTTAGCCATTGACCGAAAGAGATCTTCACCACCGAGTTTGCTAAGTTCGCTCATCTTCTCCAAAGCCTTGGTTGCGTCACTAGGAGTAGGTGTTGCGTGCTTCATTTTTCCATTCCACAAATCCGGTGATGGGCTAGTCTTCGGTGATAAACTAGCAACCGCCACAGCTGCAGCAAAATACGGTAAGTGCTGAGCAGCCACTGGCGAAGACCATGCTGGAATGCCAGGTTTTGCGTAGTCACCTGTGCGTTGTTTGCGCGATGGTGGCTGAGAACTTTGGTCATCTGATGTGCGTTTCCGCGTCGTCACTGACAAATCTAGAGGACTATTAACAGGCCCATCCGGTGGTGGTGTGCTAGTTTTGCTAAGGTTCATCACATCACTATCGGATTCTGATTGTTCACTTTTCGAAGAACGTTTGCTAAAGTCCAATATACATTCCCCGGAGGGTGATGGTGATTGCAGCCGCAATTCCGATGGATGTCCCGGCGGCGACGATGATGATGTGACCAGTGGCGAAATTGCGTTGCGGTTGAACGCAGGAGGTAGCGGTGAGGTCATCATCAGCCTATGAGAGTGTTGAGCCGCCGCGGCAGCGGCGTTCAGGTACGCAGCCATGGCGGCAGACTGAGGAGGCAGCAAAGCTGCAGCGGCTGCGGCCGGCAAAGTGGGTGGTAATGCAACACCAACCGGACTTAACGCCGTCGCCGCGAGTGGTACACTGCGTAGAAGGCTACCGCGGTCTGAAAATGCAGATTCACCGGACGGACACCGAGGTGATTCGCCAGAATCGCGCGACCTGCATCTTGGGCTTGTCATCTCCCTGCAATAACAGAAACGAGAAGCGTCAGTCATCGGCTCTTTATGCTTTTATGCAAACGCGGCCGTGCAATCAAATCTAATATGCACACGCACACATGCGCAACTCGTTATCGCGCCGACGAGGCTTTACTAAATGAAGTTTGGTAAATTATGAAAGCTCCCGCTAAGTTTTCATAGCTCTGCGGGCAGTGCGGCATAGCACTCAATGCATAGTGTTTGCGCGGCATGGTGTAAAAGTGTTTGCTCTCTAATGATTTACGACAATGGCGGCAAGCGCGCGGGCTCCGTCAAGGAGAACTCGACTAAATATTGCCTCCTATTTCAAACGCGAGAAAACTAAAGTGCCGACTGGTAAGCAGGGCCAATCCTAAATAATCACACGGTTGTGCGTTTGTGTGCATTGCGCTGCGATCGTCGTACTTCAAACATCCTTTGTTCAAAAAGCGACATGCAAGGTGCAATAAAGATCGAGTGCCTACCTTTCGACCAGGTGATTCGGTGTGTCTTCGGCAATTGATCGAGGACTACGCGGTGATGCTGGATCGCCGGGTGCTGGCGAATTGACATCATCGTCCGGCACCGGTGATGCAGCTGAAGTTGGTGTCATCGAGCCGGATTCTTCGTCGGCGTCTAACTTATCGCCGTCTTCGGGGCAACCTTCCTCACCTCCTTCCCCTGTAAAGACAAAAACACCACATTAGTGACACATCATTTGATATTAAATTCAAGTTGTAAATTGTTACGGAGAGTTAATGGTGTATAAGAAACATATTTTACTTCGTATTTGACAATAGACCAAGATTGATGCGCCTGATAAATATATAATAAACACGATGAAAATATCCGAGTGCGAAGACACAAACAAACTTGACGACGTTTGATTAGAATATTGTTTTGAAACTCGTGATGATATGGCTGCGATCCCATTTGAAGATATTCTTGAAAAGTTGCGCTCGTATTGGTACAGTGAGAACTCTCAACCATAATGCACCCGATCGTATCTCATGATTTGTATTCGAAAATATCGCGCGAAGTAAAAGAGCTTTTCATTCTGGAATGGAATGAACAGACAATACTGAAATAATAAAACAATGCGCTATGAGATTTTGACGCGCATGATTTTTACAAAGCAAAAGTCATCTGTTTTTATTGTTTTAGCCGTAATATTCACTGAATTGCTACTGTGCAAGTGAATTTCATGTGTTTATAATGATATTGCACTGAAATCGATGCGCAAAAAGGAATAAGACGAGATACCATTCTATTGCACATGCGATATGTGTGCATACGCAACAGAAGCGCGCGGCAAACCGAAATACATGTAATTATTGTCAATGCGCGGAAAGCAGGGATCCGCCAGCAGGATTCGATTAAATCCTGGAAAAGGCGGAGTAAAGTCGCTCCGAACGCGTCTCGCTGACCAATGCTTTTGCCGCGTTCGGCACAACATGTAGATACGGCAGCTTTGCTGAAACTAATTACGCTGATTTATGTTGCCATTGTTCATTGTTGCTCCGCGTTTGGACAGTTCGGAGACATACGTGCACGCCCCTGCTCGCTCGTCGTTGTTGCTTTTGTTGCCGTTCGCTAGCTGCCTGCTGCCGCTGACTGGATGGCTGCTCACAGGTACGCAGGGCTAAATCGGCCGCATCGCAATAATGTGCAAGTGCATGCGCAACTTTCATAAACTTACAACTTACAACATCCACACACATGCACACGTGTCGAGTGCGCCTCTGTTGATATGTATTCGTCCGTGGCGCGCGGAGTTGTCACCGCGTGCTTTAGTATGGCACGCCGTGTGTCGCGCGATGCAACCGGTTTGGCATAACTACCAGCAACTCAAGACGGGCCACGAGTGCCACCATCTCGGACGCGGGTACTCGGGAGCGCCGCAGTGGCCGCGCAGTCCAGAGGCATCCTTATAATGCTGTCGTCGTCTGTCCTGGCCGCCACTTGACAGAAACTGCATTGCACGAGCGAGCAAGCGCAGCCGGTCGGCACTGATGCTATCAACAAATTGTTCATGTTAGGGGCCGGTTACATACCGATCGCGGATCGCGCGTCGTTCCTCCGTTTGGCATTTTGCGCCCGTTTTGCGCCGCGGTTTTACTTCTTATTTGCCTGCCTCTTGCATGCGAAAGGTCTTCCAGCTTAATTCAATAAATTGGTGCGATCTGATCATGTGTTTTTGAGTTGTTGCACCATTCATTAGCGAATCCAATCTGATACCCAACATGCAGACGACGCAAGGGCCACATTACGTTTTTTTCGCGTTTTTTCGCAAAATAAGTGTGCTGATTGTGGAGCTTCGACCTTCGACACAGCAAATTCGCAGAATTAACAAGCTCCGCATTCATAAACCATGCTCCCCTGCAATTGGCCTTCTGTTTATGTGGCGCATGGTTCTCGCAGCGCGGTGCATGCATGCGCTCAGACTGATTAGATAAGTCGCTTCTGGTTCTGCGCGCAGCAGATCGTCCCGGAGAAGAAATGAAAGACAATGGTCTATAAATCAGGAAGGGCGAGGCAAGGGGTCATAACATAATAGGAATATAAGCGCGATGCAGTTTCCTATAGCTCACAATCACGACGTGCGCGCTTCACCCGCACGGACATTAAACGTACGTATACAAATACACGCCGTGGCGGCCCGCACACACAAACCGAGTATTCAGAAACTTATTAGAGCCATTACGCCCGGAGCCAATTAACCAAATTGCCGCGCGCGCCCGAGACTGAGCTGTAAAATACTTTAGCCGGATGGTATTTGCCTCCCGTCCTACTGGCCGCACCACTAAACAAGCTGAACTGCATTACAGAAGCCCCTTGCGATGAAAACAACTCCGCGACGTTTGATAGAAAATACAATTAAAAAAATAAACATAAAGAAGTTAGTTTTATTGAAAAACCTTTAAAAGTTTTTATTATGCAAATATATCCCTCAGGAGTTAATAAATAAACAGAAGCTAAATAAACTAATAAATCATCAAATTTCACGCCAATGCCAACACGCTAATAAGATATTTCCAACGACTGATTCTCCTGGATACTCCAGTCTATCTTGATTACAACATTTAAAGATTGGGAATAACATACTCGGGGGCGGGTGCAGTAGGAGTAGTACGTGGATAAGAGCGCCGTGTGTGCGCCGGTGATTAATTTCCGCTACGTGGTGGCCCCCGAGAGGCGGCTATCGTATTAATCCGTGTGCGCTCAGAGCACCGTAGTGGCGCGCCAAGGTGTTGGTGTTGGTGGTGTTGGGCTGCAGCGCTAGTTGGAATCAAACCAAACAACGGTCAGTTTCGTTGATGAGACCGGGCAAACTTCATTAGACGTGTCTGCGCTTCGATTACCGAACGGTTTTGCGGGCGAGGAACGTCGAAATAAGATTTCTCACCTAAGCTCCCACCGGATCTGGCTCAGCACATGCTACAGAGAGCATCACGGGTTCGGACGTGCGCGATCCGTGGCGATCTCCTACGTGGTGCGACCGACCAACGGCAAGCGCTCGACTCGTAATCGTTGAATCGTATCGAACGATGCATATTAAGACGCTTCGCTTCGATAATCATCCCGACCAGAACCACTACACTCGGGCCAGCAACGTCTTCTTCATGACATTGTTGATGCACGTCATGTTCGAGGAGCAGCGAGAGATGAGGCAGCATTTCTGCAACGACGTCAAACTTGACTCGACAATGGAGCGACGCGGACGAAAAGCGCAGTTTGTTCCAGGTCCCAGGAGAGGCTCTATCAAAACAGACCGGCGATCGAGGAGCGGCCGGAATACTCGTGTACTCGAGTGGGCGCGTTGTCATTGATGCGGCCCTGCGCGTCTGCACTTGAGAAAAACGTCCATCACACGGATCACTCAAATCCAATCAACATCTCTTCATTCCTTACAGCCCATCAAGTCGCGCGCCCGCCGAGCTGCGCTCCACATCAACTTTTCAACGAGATATCTCTCACAAAAAATAACAAGCGCATAAGATGCTCAAGTGCGAGGTTGCATTTTGTTTTGTTTTCCAATGCCGTGCGCCGTTGAACAGTGCAGTTACAGAAATATTTATTTACTTGTTGGCAAAGGGTGCGATGTGCACGGCGATCACGACGCAATTACACATTTAGATTTACGTTTTGCCGGCGCTGCTTGCATGCAATTTACCAAGGTTGTAACCAAAGGGTCACGGCCTCCTCGCGGTTCGCGCCACCAACATACGTGTTAACATGTAGCTTACTGGTCGGCACAATTTCAATGGATTAAATTAAAAGAAGGTGAAAAACTATCCGGCCCTTCTATTGTTGTCGTTAACAAGTGGCTTTTCTAGCCATGCAATACAAGCATTGTATTTACGTTGTAGAACCCGAAGGATGCAAGGAGTATGGCAAGAATGCGCGCTCTGCTGATAAAATGCCTTGAGGAGATATCGCCTTCGGGTGCCCGGTAGTCGGCGAAACATTAAAAATGCTAATTACAAGCCGATATTTATGCTAATTTTATTAGCGCGTCCGTCGTTAACGACGAAACATTTCTATCGCATTGTTTGGAATGCTACACACATGATCGATAAATGCCTAATATACGTGTTTAACGACTTTTGTAAGTGTTGCTAATAACCACATTAAATATTTTAGCCCTTTAAAACGCATAAAACAGAAGTAAAGAAGATTTTCTGACGCAAAGCTTAGTGACGCACAAAGAACTCTGTGCAAACTCAATGCGTATTATTATCACTAACCAGGGCGGCATTTGAAAACACGGTGGATAGATGCGTCGGCAATTAACCTCATCAGCCTAAAGTTTATTGCGTTCTTTATTTATCCGGCCGCCGCGCAAGTTAATAAACGTGGTTTATTGCCAAACATTTATTGCTCAATAAATATAAGCGTTGCGTTTATTTAACATTTCATTATATTATTTGTTTTGATTTATTCTTCTTGTCGGTGCGCGCTACTCCAGTGGCGATGTGGTGTATGTATGCATATTGTATGCGCGTGTTTTGTTTTAAAGAACCGCCAAACGAGCTTTTGTCTGTTGCGACGTTACTAGTAAAGGCGGATTTATAGTACTGAGCAACGCAACCAGCTAGAGTCAAACTCTCAACTTGGCGTTGCGTTAACGAAGTATAAATTTAACTTTAAACGTTACGACGCGTGTGTATACAAGAAAACGTTGCCACACACACACGCGCGTTGTTCGGCTACTAGTTTTCAGGTCGCAAATCTTTTTATTGCACCGTTTTTATTATCCTATTTGCCACGACGTGTTCCCTCGTCTGAACGCTATTTAATCAGCTACTGTTTTCAATACGTATAATTACCAATAGAGTCGTAAAAGTCCAAAAGTCCATTTCCACGCGCTGCATCTGCTTTGATAAAAAGCAGACCTCCTCAACGGAAACAAACGACTTTTTAAAAGGTGAGGAGTGTTTGAAAGATGATCAACAAGAGAGAGGCCCACCCAAGATGAACAAGCAAGGAGTTCTTCGACAGTTAGTCGCGCACATAAAGAACCATCTTAACGTCACAGCTCACGACCAAAAAATGATTGAGAAAGTATTAAATATAAATAAATAAACAGGGCATAAATAATACGATAGAGAAAACAAAGCGGAAGAAGTGAGGAGTTCTAGCCACACATACACCCAGTCATAACACATGACACAATATCT